TGCCCAGGGAGGTTGTGGATGCCCCGTCCTTGGAGGTGTTCAAGGCCAGGTTGGACGGGGCCCTGGGCAACCTGATCTAGTAAATGTGTATGTTTGGTGGCCCTGCCAGGCAGGGGGGTTGGAACTACATGATCCTTGAGGTCCCTTCCAACCCGGGTCATTCTATGATTCTATGACTCAAAAGGAAAGTTGAGCTTCAGCTCCATTTCATCTAACAACCTACATACACCAAACACAGTCCCAAGACAAAACACACAGACTGCAACATGGTGCAGCAAGTCAGATTTTCCATGGAACAGCACCACAACATTCAACCCCCAAGTATTCAAGAAAAGAGTTCAATACTCAGATCGACGACAACACACAACACAAAATTAAGACTAAAGTATGGTAAAAACATTTTTAATTACATCAATTAGTATAGCTGTTTTTGAAGCGAAAGCATTGAAAGAGTCAATGGCACAAATCTGCATGCAAGTTAAGCTAGAGATATTCCATCTATCATCATCATCCATACATTTTGACCAGTGAAACCAAATAAACAATTCTGCTTTTGAACAGACCAAACATGAGTAAGGACTACACATTCTAAAAATGGCAAGATGTTCTGACTTGCTTTCATTCTAGACACTACTTCCTATTGAAATGTAAAACCTATATTAGATATAGGTTCAGTTAAATACAGAAAATATTAAAGAATTACATGATTTAAGACTTGAAAACTTACTTGAGTAGTTCATAATTCTTCTCATTTAGTCTCACAGCATTCTCCCGCCAAAACTTCTCAGACTTGTGTACAGGACTCCACTCAAGTCTTCCTGACTTGAGCTCAGAACTGTACTCGTCAAAGGAGCTGCAACATAAAAGACGTAAATGAAATACCAGCTAAGCTTCTATGAACAGAGTTTGAACTGCGTGCCCAAGCCTGTCCCTAGCGAGACAACGCTGGAGCAGAACTTGCTGTGACACATTTGGAAGTCAGCACTCTGCAGAGCATGAGAACTGTTCCCTGTCTCAGAGTTCAACGCTTTAGGAAGGAAAAAAAAAAGAAGGAAAGGCATGAAAAGCAAGAGAAAAAAATTATTTTCAAACATAACCCTCCATGCCCTCCCAAACACAATTCCTGATGAAAGAAAAAAAAAAAAAAAAATTCCCAACAGTCCGAGAACCAGGAGAGATGAATACAGCAAAACATTGCAATTGCTACAGGTATTTGCATTTGCAATTAAAAATCTGCCTATTTGCTAGGTTTTAACTTCCCCAACGAAGGATCCCAGTCTTTGCCTTTCATCCAATTAAACCTTTGATACGAACTACAACATGCAGTTCAATTCATGCACAAGAGCAAGAACTAGGCAAACACTAGCAAAAACACGAGTTCATCTGGACAGCAAAATGCATTCTAGTCAGAGAGCCTTCAGCTTAGACTAGAACTCCTATGAGATACCACTGAGGTTCTTTAACAATTTATCAGTTACGAAGATCACATATCCAAAAGTGGAGATTTATTTTCTATTCAGCCTGTAAATAGTCATTCAGAATGGGAAACTTTTATATACAACCAGCACCTCTCTATGCTCTAACTTATCAACTAGCATCTACGTATCATAATTCTGTATATTATTTAGCCTTAAAAAAAGAAAGAAAAAAGTTTTAGCAACGTTCATATATATTGCATTTTCTAAAAGTTCACATTGCAAAGCATACCTAAGGTCTTGCACACTCTCACCAAGCTTGTCCAGTAGAAATTTGATATCTTCACTGATGTCTTCATCATCATATTTCTGCTGATCCAAATTCTCTAACTGCTTTAAAACTTTACACTGAATCATGGCAAGAGCATATTCTTGGCGAGTTTCTCTCTCTGTAGATTTCTCTAACAAGTTCTAGGAAAGTAAAAATTGGTTTTAAGAACAGACTACTTTGCAACAAAGTGGTGTTTTTAAGGAATTCTTATTAGCACTTTTTAATTTACTAAGTGACAGAATTGACCACATCCTGAAATAATCTCTCCAAAAAAGTATGAGTCTACCACACAGTGGCTGCTTTACACCTACATTCAGTAGCATAAATTGCCTAGGACTGACCTTACTACACAGGAGAGTATTCGTATTGGTCACTACAGGAGATGAAAAGGAACTTTAGAAAGGCTCTGTCTTGCAAGATAGAAGTTATGCAACTGTACGTGCTTATATTGAAGAGCAATTCACCTGCTTTCATCATTTGCCACATCAAATCAGGCTGACTACAAAGACTATGCAAAGAAAAAGGGCAGGCTTATATCCCAAATCCCAGAGTCTCTGCCATAAACAACTACTATTCTCTGGGATTATCATTTTAGCTTTCTGTGCAGCACCAGCATAAAGCAGGAAAGCCTTAAAAAAAACACCAAAAAAATCCTGAAGTAATCTTTCCAACTCAAGAGTTAGATCAGCTTCTTCTGAACTTGGGAGTATTCCAACTAGACATTTTTCTTCAAACAGAAGCTTGTTGGTAAGACTGGAATTACAAGCACAAAGTGTAATAGTCATTTCCAATGTCATTTATTCATCACATTTCAACTCAATTTAATCAGTTTCAGATTATGTTGTTCAATCAGAGCTAGCCACCCACACTTTTCAATAAAGCTGAAAACATGAGCTCCATATAGAAGACAAAGTCCTTAACAAACAGAACATGTGTTCACATAAATAAGCCTTAACATCAACCAGAAATAAGCAACAAAACCATACAGAAGCAATTTGACTACATCACTCTCATTCATGTCACAGAACCGCTACACTTAAGGTTTCTAAGATATCAGACGTCATACTAGTTACTAAAGCAGAACACTGCAAATAAATGTTAAAACTTGCATAATGAAAAGTCATATTACTGCTTTTAATGGCCACACACAATTAGCATTACAATGTGCAAAAATCACATTTCTATTTCAGTAAGAGAACTGAGAATTAAAGGCAATTTACAGAAAGTAATGCTAAATTACTTAGAGTTAAAAGTGCTAACAAGAGCAAAAGAACAAATAATGAATGTCAAAAGACAAAATTCAACAAGTTCAAGGAACAGATAGATGAAGTTTCCAAAGAACTCCTAGTTAAGAGAATTACAGGCAGATGTGGAAGTCACTCCAAATATTATTACCTACCTCATACCATAGTGAGATATTCAAGCTTTTTATAGTGAAATTAAAAAGGATATATTAGGAAAGCACAAACAGGAACACGTGACTAAATAGAATGGATCAGTAAACTACTCAGGGACCAAAAAAATCTTAAGGTACAAAATGAGTTACACACAGGAAACAGACATAAAAGACAATAAAAGTATGAAAAATGAGGAAAAAACCTTTTAATAGGTAAAGAGAAAAAGTAATTGATTGAAAGTGGACAGAAGTACATTACAACTCCATACTTCAGGCAATTAACTTGCTAAAGAGGTGAAACAGGTCAATTTAAGAGAAACAGTAGTAGAGAAGACATACGTAAGTTGTCAAGACTCACGGAATACCTTAAATAACGCACAGGCCATAGGGATGATTTGGGGAATTTCAAGCCTAGCCCTTCTTCATGCAACTCACTTATTTCCCACCCCCCCACAAACTGATACTGGGGCCTCTGACACCGGAAAGTTAGCCTCTGCTACTTATTTTAATTTGCTTCAGAACTCACAGCTCTGATGTCTAATTTCTAATCTATTATTTCCTTGCTGCCAGTTTATAACCTCATTTTCATGCCAACACTAGTCTTTAGTGCTGAAGAAAACAGCTAAGTTAATTTCCCTGAAGTCTGTAACAGAACCAAATTATTCTTTCTTAGCCTTTATTTATTAAAAGAACTGGGCTTCATTTTTGTCTCCTCTTGTAAAACACACTAAAGTTAAGAACTAGCAATTATTTCTCCTATTTTTTATCACCTCAGAATTGGAAGAAGTTGAATATAAATTGCTGAGCCCCTGACGTGTTTTCCTTTTTTTTTTTTTTTCAAGCTGTCTTGTTATACGTCCCTGCTTAAACCTAACATTTAAGATCCTAAAGAACACTAGAACATTTATAGAGGTCTGCATGGTAAGAATTACCCCTACCAAATATTCTTATGCTCCAGAAATTTTTCAAAGTGACAGATGATTTTGGCTAGAGAGTCTGTTTAAGTCACGGAGTGAGCACTTTCACAGAGCTCATTATTGCTGATCAGAAAGCCAGTAAGCAACAATTCCCCTCTCCCCATCCTAATTTGCTTGCAACACTACTACTGGAACACAATCAACACCCAGGAAAACAAATTGTATCCAAGATCTACATCTCCTACTCAGGATACGAGTCCTGTTTTAAAACAGGATTACAAACTTACCCGAAATGCTGCAAGGATGATTCTAGTTACTTTCTCTTTGACAGATTCCTGAAGAATATCCGAGAGCACTGGAACAATATTATACCGACGGAGATATTCACACATTTGAGGGCTAAATGCCAGCAGCCACACACAGAAAATCATCTGATACTGGAGCTGGAAGCCGCATTTGTTGCTCAAGACGCCCATGATACTGAAAAATTAATACATTATACATTTACTTTTTAAATAGCAACTGCATAGGTTGCATTGTTCCACCCTGAAACAGTAAAACAAATTATTAAGAACGTATTGGAAAGAGCTGTTGAGGATGAGTATACAACACACGTTTCACAGTACTCTGTGCCAGTATTTATCATTGTACAAGCAGCTTGTCCAGAAAGCCATCTTTTAAAGATACAGTTATTTCCTCCTTAGCCTTACCACCACAAAGCAGCTTTTCCCATGTGAACTGATGTGGTACTGTATCCATCTCCAGGTTCACTAAGACTCTTTTTCTACTGGAATATTTCGAGCATTATTTGCCTAAATTATACCTTGAGGGTTGGGAGGCTCTGCAGAGGGATCTGGACAGGCTGGAGCGATGGGCTGGGCCAATTGCCTGAGGTTCAATAAAGCCAAGTGCCGGGTCCTGCACTTTGGTCACAACAACCCCCTGCAACGCTACAGGCTCAGGGCAGAGTGGCTGGAAAGCTGCCCAGTGGAAAAGGACCTGGGGGCGCTGGGCAACAGCCGGCTGAACAGGAGCCAGCAGTGTGCCCAGGTGGCCAAGAAGGCCAACGGCATCCTGGCCTGCATCAGCAATAGTGTGGCCAGCAGGACTAGGGCAGGGATTGTGCCCCTGGACTCGGCACTGGTGAGGCCGCACCTTGAATCCTGGGGTCAGTTTTGGGCCCCTCCCCACAAGAAGGACATTGAGGGGCTGGAGCAGGTCCAGAGAAGGGCAACGGAGCTGGTGAAGGGTCTGGAGCACAGGGCTGGCGAGGAGCGGCTGAGGGAGCTGGGGGGGTTCAGTCTGGAGAAGAGGAGGCTGAGAGGAGACCTCATCACTCTCTACAGCTGCCTGAAAGGAGGGTGCAGTGAGGGGGGTGCTGGGCTCTGCTCTGAAGGAACAAGTGATGGGACAAGAGGAAACGGCCTCAAGTTGCAGCAGGGGAGGTTTAGGCTGGATGTTAGAAAAAATTTCTTCACTGCAAGAGTGCTCAGGCATTGGAACAGGCTGCCCAGGGCAGTGGTGGAGTCACCATCCCTGGAGGGAGTGAAGAAACGTGTGGATGTGGTGCTTGGGGACATGGGTTAGTGGGTTGGGTGGTGTGGGTTGACGGTTGGACTTGATGATCCTTGAGGTCTTCTCCAACCTGAATGATTCTATGTTTTGCCATTCTAGGAGAAACAGACAGCTACTCCTTCAGAGTTAAGAAAGAGAAGGAGTAAACAGACAGAATGAAACCTACACAACTTGAACTCGCTTCCTTAATTGTATCTCTCCACAGGAGCATCTGAAATCAGCTGAAGTAGTCATTATTTAACAAGTGAGTTCTCAGAAAACAGCTTTTCTCTATAACACATCACAGATACACAAAGCACAACTAGAGAAGAAATAATATCACAAGATCACCAGGAAGAAATCATGCAGAAGCTTTGTTCAGATGAAATTTTGAAAATTTAATAAGCAATTTACAGGTCCATCTTCAAAAAAAGGTACCCCAATTTAAATAAAAAAAAGTTATCTACTTTCAAGATCATTGCTCGCAAAATTAAGACAAATTCAAACGTGTTGAAACGCAGGCTTATTGTAACGCTTTAATAGTTTATTAAAAAGCTTCCTTGGTGAAAAGGTTTGTTTCAACAGTATCATCTTGACACATAAACATCTTTTGAACTTCCACTTCACTGGCAGCTTTGAGTTTTCCCCATTTCAGAGTACAAGGGTATTTTTTCTTAAAGTGCAAATTGTACAGCCACCATCCCCAACAGAGGCACGCATGGGAGAAAAATTATTTATAGAGAAGCATTCTTAAGTAAGATGAGTGACAACATCCTAGCCTCATGCAGAGCTATTTATTAAGAGAATATGGATAAAAGAATAGCCTACTTGAAGCCATATGTGGAAAAAAAAAATTGAGCTTAGCTCTAGAACATGTTTCTCCTTTCACTAATACTTTCAGACTGAACAACTCCAAACTGAAAGACAAGTAAGATTAGCAGTAACTCATTTCGCTAGTCCTTGTTCTATTAAATAAAAACCAGAGCATCTTTAGCTGAAGACAAATGGCTGTATTCCCTTCAGCTATTTATTTAAGCAGTTCTTCCTGATGAGTCAAGTACCATTAAGGCCTCAACACTGGTACCTATATGTACAAGTTTCATTTGTCTATTTGACTGTATAAATGTTTGAAAACAAATAGGTTTTGTACTCAAACAGAACAGCTGTCTTTTGCAAGAGTTCTATTCCAAAAGAGGTCACGGGGGAACATACTATTCTACATGCAAGTATATCCATATAAATTGAAATAAACACTCACCAATTTACTCCATCTGCTTCTACCCACGCAAAGCGATACTCATTGACCCTGAGCATCAGCTGCAGACATCCAGCAACACATTGTACATATTGGGAACTCTGGGTGAAAAGAAGAACACATCACTTCTTACAAAAAGAGTTAGGTAGTGAGTGCTGGAGCTTAGTTTTCCAAACTAGGCTTCACTGGCATACTTCAACACACATTTCTTCAGTGACGCTTCTGAGTTAAACAGGCTCACTTTTGTAATGCTTTACATCCCTCTATTAAAAAAAAAAAAAAATCTCAAAAGGTGGGAAGCAAAATATAAATGGAGAAGAGTTTTGAATAGGAAAGAACTGTTATGCAAGTGAAACCATTTTACATTACTGTAACAGATTTTTATAACCCATTTGAACATGCCTTCTTTGAGCATCTACAAATGAAGGCTGTCTTCTGTTTGATTACACTGCCAGAGCCCTTTCATCCACAGAGCCAATTATTATTCCATTAAGCAAACTTTGGTAAATAAATCAGTGAACTGGTTACCAAGCTTGAAGAAGTTTGCTAGAGGTAATTGTAGAAAAAGGAATCTTGAGCTGAGGCTCTTCCCACTCCCATTCTCCAACTCAAAGCAGCAGTGGTGTGATCACAACTTTACATTTTCTGACATGTGTGCCACACAGTAAGTACCATTCTTAGCATAATGAGACATATACGAAAAATACCATTAGAAAAATGAGCATGCAAAATCATCCTCAAAGTTCAGCTTTGCATTTTAATTTTTTCTTATTTTCACTAAAAGCTTAGCACAGTATACTGTGCTAAGAAAAGAATGAGACTAAAACTTTCCCACCAGGAAAACACTGAGAGATGAACCACTGACCAAAATTTTAATTCAGACTCCTATATGAATACTGGCAAATAGCTTTTCATTTCTAAAAGCATGTATTTTCTCTGCACTAACACATAAGATGGGCTGCAGTTCAAAAATGGGTTTGGGTCAACCCATTGTCCCTCCCCCTACATCAACAGAAAGATCCCAAGGTAAACAGAAGTGGCATTTTTCTCTTTCTTCTTGCTCAGCTTCTGGCTTTATCTTCACTAATACTCAGATATACTGCTGAGAAAATGTTGGTGTTTTTTCCTATAAGCCTTCTTTTTTTACTAAGTGTCTTGAAAGTCTTATGGTAGATCACTCACATAATACTAGGTCAAACCTGGCAAACATTTAATGGAGTAAGGAAGTTAGGCAATCCCATATGAAGAGAAAAGAGAAGAAGCAATAAACAGAATTTAAAATAAAGATGAATTCTGTGTCTCGCAACAGAGATTAAGACCTTTATGTAAAAAGCTGAGTCTGAACATCATACAGAGCATTCACTTCCCTGGGTAGGTATTCAGTCTCAAAACACCATGCAAATAAAACAGCTATAAACACACAGACAGCCCTCCCGCCTCTAATAATATATCATTTTATCTGCATCACCAACCTGTTTACTACTGAATGCGGAGTTTCCTTTTTAAAGAGTCTGGCATAAAAATATTGTCTTCCAACACTGCTACGATTGAAATCTCATAATAGATCCCAGCCCTCAATTCCTGTGTAAAATGCTACAACTGTATCTCTAATGTACTCTGAAATAAATTAGTCAGGACCTGATCAGGAATCCTGCACAAGATAGATCTGAAATCAGAATACTAACACAGTCAAGGCAATGCTTACCCAGATTAATTATCCCAGAACATATTTGTGCTATCAGTTCTGCTGCGCTGGGACCCTGCGGCAGTATGGTACTTCCATGCAGTGCTACAGTACAATGAATACACGTTTCTAAGCAAGGTAGAAGAGCTCACAGTTCCGTAGCAAGTGGTGTTGCATGCTGTGGAACTACTGACTGTTTTAAGGCTCTGTGACAGAGGGCTGCCAGCCTAACAAAACCTAACAGTATGGCACGCAGAACTGCACACAAAATACTGAAATACTTCAACTTCTATGCTCAGGCCATAATTTTATCTCCTATTCACGGTCATGCACTACAGTCTTTCATCTTTTCTATTTTAAACCCTGGTCAGGTGGTAATTTAAGAGGCTTTCCTCCACAGGAAGTGAACACTTTAAAGCAATGTCTACATTTAGAAGAGAAACAAATTCCAGATTCATATTTAAGTCTTCTGAAAAAAACTGTGAACACTTCCAGGTTGCAAAAGGAACGAAAGACCAAACTGAATCCTACTCCACCTTCAAAAGCTACAATAAAGCGCCTTGTTGTGCCACAACAAAATAGAAAATCCAGTTATGATGATCACTTGCGTTTGCTATACTGCAGCAGTTCATCTCCAAGCTCAACAGCCATTACAGCTACATGAAATTCGATATAAATCCTGATAAAGAACAATCCATTTTCCCCTGAATTCAGGCTATTCACATGTGAAAAGCTTACAGCTTTGAAAGCATTCTTGTAATTTCACGCTACAAAGGCTTGAGGGATGATGTTAGCTTCAATATCTGATGTGCCTTTTCTAAGTTCTGCACTTCACAAGACCCAAAATCTTCTTAAGTCTCAGGTTACTTCTAGAAGTCAGACAGTTCAGCGCTAAACAGACAGTATTGTTCAAATATTAAATTAATTGCATATAATTGTTTCAAGTGTTAACAAAGAGGATGCCAGATACATCTACATTTTTAACAACCCAAACCAACTCATAAAATACATCCTTCCACTGCAAGCATTTTCTGGGAAACCAGTGTTTTAAAAACACTTTTGTTTCTTGGCGCCATCACCTGGCACTCTGTTGTCATACAGTTCATATTCCAAGTACTTTCTATTCCTGACACCAGAACACCTCTGCCCCTTAACCTGCACAAAACAGCAACTTGATAGATTTCAAAGATATACTCACATCACTTGTGGAGACTGCTCCTGTTTCTACAGAACCCCCTGTACCACGTAGTTTCTAGCAAAAAAAATAAAAGTTGAAAATCAGAGCTGTCCTTCACCCTCACAGAACAGTTGTTACCAAGTTTCTTTCAATTCTCCCATCACTTTAGTCATAAAAAGGAAACATTAAGAATCCATTAGATACTTTTTCTGTTCAATAAGTTATGATAATATATTGTATTTCTTTCCCACACACACCATCATGTCTAGAAGAACAGTATATGAAGATGTAAATATTTTTTTTAATTTCAGTGTGGATTTACTTAAGACTTTTATCCATCTTTATCTTAGAATTTGAAAGCCATTCTCTTGAATCTTCCTGAAGGAAATTCCAACTTTGAGATTCTTCTTCCAGCATAAAATTCATTTTTTATAAGCCTAGTCTGGAAAACTATGAAAAAAAATACCCCTACTAAACCTACTGAATGGTTCTCATATACCATATGAGAATACAAATACCATCCAAATAAGTCAGGACTCATGATGTTTCAAGTGACAGGACCAAAAATAAAAGCTTTGCACTACAGTAAACTGGAAAAAAGATTTTATATTCATTTCCTGTGGACATATGATTTTTATTCCTGGCAAAAAGCTCTGAGAAACAAAACAATACAGGGAGACAAAAAATCTTCATGTGTTTTCTCAGTGTCCAGAAGAAAACAAACATTTATGAACAAAAAAGGCAAAGTGCCTTATTTTTTATTTTTAAATTTCAAGGACTGGAGTAGAAAATATAAAATAGTAAATTAAGAAATAATGAGTTTGAATAAAGGATATTCATCTTTAAAAATAACAAAATAAAATTTCACTTTAAAAGGAAAAAAAAAAAACCTCCTGTTTGTGCATATATATATATAGTCACGTTCTTGAAAAGAATTTTCAAAAGTCACAGTAAAGTTGAAACAGAAGTAGCTTTTTACCTGTGAACTGAGCTGAGTTTTAATCCAGTTGAAATAGTAATTCAAGTCACTGCCTTCCATAAGTTCCCTCCCCCATGCAGCCAGTTTGGCAATAATTCTTGCTGCCTGAAAGAGAATGCAATAAATAGATTTTTCAAACGCTGCAATTTCAGGATCAGTGAAAAGTTGTACAAGGTCTGGAAACCACGTTTAGGTAAAAGATGGCCCCTTACAGAAATCTACCTGTTTTCTACACAGGGGACTCTTCATGCCTAGTAATTTTATTTCTTCAGCTTTCTGCTACTTCTGCTTCCTAGTAACTGGTGAATTTTCAGTGTTACCGGATAACCTGTCTCTAAGGAAGTTTACAAGGCACCAACAAAGAACTCAGAAGGAAGGGAGCTATCAATGGGCTGCTGCTGTAGGACACTACTGCAGCCAGGAACCCATCAACAGTAAGACACTTCACCGTGTAACACAAACATAAGCAGGCTTACTTTCAGCAGCTATGGCACACGCCAACTTAAATGTCTGCAAAGCATTGAAGTTTTCTGTACTCAAACTGGAGCAAGTAATCTTCAAGAAGGAAGAAGGTTCAAGCCCAGATAAAGAGCAGCAGAAAACCAAAAGGGAAGGTAGAGTTTAAGAATGAAGTTGAGGAGTAAATATGTAGTCAGGCTAAGAATTTTCATGATGCCTATACCACAAGAATACATGTAACAAGAGCATATTTCTATGCCAGTCTTTCCAAATTCTGTTTGAAGTAACTCTACATCGCAGCCTGAAGATTATTTGCAGAAACATTTGAGCCAGCTTATATATAAAGGGAGTCTAACCAACAAACTACGGAGGCAGGTGTTCGTTTGCCTGCACACAGCTCATACAGTGAGGACACTATTCCTGGCACCTTTCCACTATACTACACTCAGATGTGCAGCTCCACCACTGATTTCTAGAGGGATTACGAGTGAGAGTCTGGAACAACGATCTCTACACTGAAATGGGTCAAATACTCTTCTGAATGCAGCCACGTAGACATATAAAATCCCTTCAGCTTTAAAACACAAGATATTAGATTGTTAGCTTACCATGCTCCTGATTTAAAACTGCTACCTGACCCCTGAATAAGAGACCTTTCATGCCTAGCAGAATCTGAGCCTCGCCATAGAGAACAAGTATTTTTATCGGTCTATGCAGATACAATGATGTGGCAGCCAGAAGTCTTGCATAGCAAGGAGGAAAAAAAGAAAAAGAAAAAGAAGCAACACAAAAACTTTGTTTTGAAAACATTAATGTGCTTTAAAAATATATATATATGCCCAAAGAGTACTAAAAGGTACAATAAGGTAGCAAACTTAGTGTTTTAAAGTGGATTCACACTACGTGAGGTTCTCTGTGATTTGCAGTTATTTGTATATTTTTGCAGTGCCTAAAGAAAGCAATATCCAAATAACACATCTGTGAGCAGGGAAATACTGGGCACAGAAATTTCTATACTGTACATTTGAAAGCCACCATTCTAGGGAGACTAATGAGTTTGCATTGCAGATCTAAAAATTACACTTTATCTGCACACCTCAGAAGTCGATATTGTCTGAGATTGCTCAGACTGCAGTTTTGCAAGATGGATCTTCAGCAGCAATACCACAAAAAAAACCCACCACACCAACAAAAAAAAACCCCAAACAACCCTGTTCTCCTGCTGCACCAAGTAACCCGATTCCATGGCCATGCAATGAATCAGGCAGATTTAAAAAAAAAAAAAAATCAAGCCTGACATCTTTCTTGAACACAGACCAGCTCATTGTTCAAGTCGCAGCACAGCCCCCAACCACAGTTGCACTGGCCACACCTAAGGGCAAACAGCATGACTTGCCTGAAATTCCTGGTGCCAATACTGCCACCACAGTGTAACACGGGCCAGGTATATGGTTTTGTAGGTTGAGCCACTGGTTTGATTTTACCATAAACATATGCAGTGAAGAACAATCCATACCCATACAGTTTTCCCCCCTCTTCAAGCCATAATACAAATTTTTTGGTGGAAACCATGATCTCCATTAGGAATTTAAAGGAATACAACCATATTTTCCCCCCCACAAGGAAAAAAAAACAAAAAACAAACACTGAGATAAAGTGACCAATACACAACAGATGACAGAAGAATATTAAGAATTCCAGAAAAGTTATTCCATATGCCCAGTGGTTCAAAGCACAGCAGATACCATACAATGCATGTGGATGTATTGGGCTTGGCTGGGATAGAGTTAATTTTCTTTACAGCAGCCCATATGATGCTGTGGTTTAGACTGGTGACTGAAACAGCGTTAATAACATACCAATGTTTGAGCTGTTACTGAGCAGTGCTTGCACAACATCAAGGACTTCTGCTTCTCACTTTACACTTCCAAAGAGTAGGTCGGGTGCAGGGGCCAAGAGGCTGGGAGGAGACACAGCCAGGACAGCTGACCAAAGAGATGTACTGTCTGGGCATCAGTTTGCTGGTGTCGTGTTTTCGCCAGTATGCTCACAAACCATTTTAAGCAGATTTCAAGTGACATTATAGCAATTTGAGCATATGAGAGAATAAGGTTCATCAAGGTTCTCAACAGCTCAATGTCCAAGTGGAGACCAGTGACAAGTGGCGTTCCTCAGGGGTCAGTACTGGGATCAGTGTTAACATCTTTGTGGGAGACATGGACAGTGGGATCAAGTGCATCCTCAACAAGTTTGCCAACGACACCAAGCTGTGTAGCGCAGTCGACATGCTGGAGGGAAGAAATGCCATCCAGAGAGACCTTGACAGGCTTGAGAGGTGGGCCCATGCAAACCTCATGAAGTTCAACAAGGCCAAGTGCAAGGTCCTGCACATGGGTCAGGGCAACCCCAAGCACAAATACAGGCTGGGTAGAGAATGGATTGAGAGCAGCCCTGAAGAGAAGGACTTGAGGGTGTTGGTTGATTAGAAGCTCAACATGAGCCAGCAGTGTGTGCTTGCAGCCCAGAAACCAACCGTGTCCTGGGCTGCATCAAAAGCAGCATCAGCAGCAGGTCGAGGGAGGTGATTCTCCCCCTCTGTGAGACCCCACCTGGAGTACTGCATCCAGCTCTGGGGCCCCCAGTATAAGAAAGACATGGACCTGCGGTTCAGAGAACCACAAATACGGCCAGAGGGCTGAAGCACCTCCCCTATGAGGACAGGCTGAGAGAGTTGGGGTTGTTCAGCCTGGAGAAGAGAAGGCTCCAGGGAGACCTTAGAGCAGCCTTCCAGTACCTGAAGGGGGTACAGGAGAGATGGGGAGGGACTCTGCATCAGGGAGAGGAGTGACAGGACAAGGGGTAATGGCTTTAAGCTGAAGGAGGGTAGATTTAGATTAGATATTAGGAGGAAGTTTTTTCCTGTGAGGGTGGTGAGGCAGTGGCCCAGGTTGCCCAGGGAAGCTGTGGATGCCCCATCCCTGGAGGGGTTCAAGGCCAGGCTGGATGAGGCTTTGAGCAACCTGGGCTGGTGGGAGGTGTCCTTGCCCATGGCAGGGGGGTTGGAACTCAATGATCTTTAAGATCCCTTCCAACCCTAACCATTCTGTTGATTCTATAGGGTACAGATATTTCTCTTTCACAGGATGAGAACTTACATTCTAATATTTGTACAGCATGAGGAGCATTGACTGACAGTTGTGACAGAAGTTATTTTTCTATTTGTGACTTAGTGTGCTTCATTAATTCTAAAATCCTTGCTTTCCTGAGCCTTTAAAACCTGCTCTAACCTCCCAGAAAAAAAAAAAAAAGGTCAGTAAACAATATAACTTTTCTTTCTAAAGTGTGGTCAAGTGAAGCTTGTATTAAGAATGACTCATCTAAACTGCAAGAGGGAATCTTTTCAGTCCAGGCAGTATTTTCATTTCAGATTCCAAAATGTCCTAAAGAAAAGTAAAACCAGCATTTTCCTCTACCATCTTCAGAGACAGGTTCATTTAAAACTTACCATATGCACAGTGAAAAGATCTTGTCGATTCAACATCGGCAGAAAATAGGACCATGCAGTGTTTTTACCACGTTTTGCATAATCAAAGAAGATACAAACACGCTGATGATTTTCCTGTAAAAATTGGGAGAGAAGATGAGAGACTTGTAAAAGCGTTCAACATAAAGCAGTTATTTACTGCTCATTATGTTGGCATACATTATCAGTGTAACCTGGCTTGTAACAGCCCATGGAAATTTTTCAGTTTGACAGTTACTTATGGATATAGTTCATTTCAGCACTCCAACATTAATGTTAGAGATTTGGGGTGGGGGGAAACAAACTTTGAAACCCTAGTTATATCTCAGTACTCCAACACCTGCTTGAATAAAAATGGGTGTATCCTTTTCATCCAGCAAGCAGAATTAGAGAAATGAGAGACAGCTAAATACTGTCATTTTCCAGAGGAACACTACTCTTCACCCAATCAGTTATGCTTGAATAAAGTCCATACAAAGTTTTCCACGTATTGCTACTTCCACACAAAAGCCTGTTGTTCAGCTTTACTATATGTGCTACAAGTGAAACTTCGGAGATATAACCTAGTCCTGCCTCTCCATTCCTCTCAACGGGAAGCAAGCTCTTCTCTCCCAGATGAGGCTGCAACTGGTTCAGCTGTCATCTCAGGCAACCTGCACACCTAGGAGAGGACACAGTCACCAGAAGTCTCTTCTCCAGGACTTCTAGGCTGAACCACAAGAGACCAGAAGTACCTGAACCTGCATACCGTGCACAGTTTCTTCAAGCATTTCACCTAATAACCACCAGAAAAAGTAGCTATTATGGTTCTCCTTAAAGTAGACCAGAGAAGAGGCCATGCAAACCTGAAGGAGAAAGAAGAGCTCTGCTATTTCCTAACAGCCTAGAATACAGACAGTCTTCCAGAAAATCAAATACCTGGATTCTTGCTTTTTCTCCAGCATTTCCATATACTTTCTACCCTGGTGGATAGTAAGCTTTCATTCTAAAGAGATGTCTCCCCATTGCAGTCAAGCTACTACAACAAATTATACAGCTCCTATCACAGAAGGCAAAACTGTTTGAAACTCTGTAACTGTGAACCTCGCATGAGAACAGTATCTCGCTCTCCACTACCCCATGAATTTAATTTTCAAACTCCCCTAGCTGAAGGCCTTTCCTCCATCAATTCAGCACCCTGTCATTAACTCTACGGACCAAGAACCAGCTAGACAAGCCTGCTACTTGGAATACAATCCATTAAGCACAAGAAGACCTGAATGTATCCATGATCCAAACACTGGCATCCTACTAAGCATCAGAGCTGCAACCAATGCATTACTGAAAATATCAAAGCTACTGCACCACATGGGCTGCAAACTGCTGTCCTAGTCACTGACTAGGGAAGGTCAGGTGTCTCTAGTCATCCGACAGTCATAACCTCTAGAGCGATGAATGTTCTACGTGGCATGTGTCAGAAAGCACCCAAAAACCCTCACAAAATTTCTTGTTCAAACTAAAAAGTAATTTTTTAAAAATTAAGATCTCAGGAACATAGTGCCTTGGTGAACAGGCTCTGCTCTGTGAGAGCTAGTTTAACAAAAAATGGCAGTTTGATCAAATAAATCACTGTTAGCATCTACACTTATGCTGCACAGAGTCTAACTAAAAAGATCAAAAATAACTAGATCAATGAGTTCAGTTTACAACATAACTAAGGAGGAGACAGACATGTCTGGAAGCAGAAAAGCTGAAGTAACTTCAACATGCTGTCAATCAGAAGACTAGTCTGGTTTGCTGTTGAGGTGCTGGGTAAAGACAGGAGTGAAGAAGTGGAGAGCTGCCTACAACCCTGAAATACATAGTGCTACACCTTCCTAGGCAGCTACTAACTACATCAATAAAACTGGAAATCCTGTAGCTCTCACATTAACAGTTGAATAATTTAGCATCTGTCATTTCTGAAGCAGCATAATGAAGCCCACTTGGGTGGTACTACTACCTGCACCAACTACAGTGCAGGTTCCTAAGATTTCACAAGTAACAGACTGTGCCATGTGTCAGGGTCACTAATACAGATAAATTGTTACAACTATTTATCATATGAATAGAATAAGAAATGCTTCCTCAGTGATTCCAGTATGCTAACACCCTCCATCTTCAGAAATAAGCAAAATGGGGATATTCTTATAAGGCAGTCACGACATTAATTTCACTTCTGACAGCCTCCAAAGTAAATCTTTCTTAGAACCATGATCAAACTTGTAAGCAGAACTGCTGGAACAATGCTAGGCACCCAGGTAGGCTTTTGGTGTACTTAAAACACAGCTGGTATGGTTTTTACATCCTCACAACAAAACCATAGAAAGATAATAGAAGAACCACAGACAGTCACTATCAACACAGACAAAAGCTGGATACTGTTACCTAGAATAGTTTCTAGAAGCTTCAGCTATCAAAGGTAGCTTTCAAATACTATTCGTTCATCTCATGAAACTGCAGTGAACACCCTTGCTCAAAACAATTTTACTGAAAGAGTCAGTGGCACCATGACAAGCCATGTCCTTGAACAATTTCTTGCTTAAAATCTTTCCATGTACTGAATTAAGACTATGCAAGCAAAGACAGGCAACTTTATATCCACTGTTGTGGGTTCTTCTGTCCACGCAGTCTGCAGAGACCCTGCACTAAACCCGCAGTCACAGAGCCAACGGCCAATGTGCTGCTTTCCGACAAGACTCTTACACCCTGAAAATGTGCAACCAAGATTCCATAAGGCATCACTGTCGGCATGCTCCACCAGCTGAACATGACCAAAAGAAAACAGAAGTCCTGTTTCAGCCTTGCCTAGTGGAGGCACGGAGGGTCAGGAAGCCCTAGGATGATGCCATGCAGACGCCTGTGCACAAGCTCTCTTGGACAACAGGAAGATATTCTTGAAGTCACACAGAGCATTGCAAAAGTCAGTGCACCCTTTCAGACACCAAAGCAGAATTTCTAAAGTGGAAAAGGCATCCAATTTCAAACAAAAGCAAGTATGTATTGCGCACAAACATCTCAATTCTCCTGTGTCACTATAAAGCCTGGACAATTTAAAGTCATTATGTTTAACATTAATAATTCCACAGATGCCACTTCTGCTGCCGAGTAAGTCCCCGAATACAGAAATGTCAGTACATGACCATAAAGTCAAGAAAACATGTTCATCTAGACACATGACAGAACCAATATGGTAAATAAGAGATTACTCAAAACTGCTTTCTGTAACCACCTAGAACAAAGGCAATTGCTTGAGAGTGGGCCAGTGAAAGCCTTTACCTGGGGGGTATTAATTCCACAGCATAAGAGGTGATATCCGCTATCACATATTGTAGCTACAGGCTATGTGCTAGTGTCAAAGCATGTAAGCAAAACAAGACCTACCAACACTCACAAAAAGTTCCAAATAAAGGCAAAGGAAATTATTACTTCTGTGGCCACTGACATGACTCACACACACAACAAGACCCATTCCTCACAAAAGCAGTCATAATAAACAGAGTTCTCATACACTAAGAAAAAGTTTGTTGTCAAATGCATAAACCATAACAAGGTACTCCCAACTCAGTGTTCTAACCAAGCAATGACGGAGGCTCTCTTTTGTCTTCTCTGCCTCTTGATGTTTGTATCATACTTGAGACAAGTAAATCTAAAGAAAAGAGGAAGCGGGTCAGAGTGACAAAGTTGCAGGTGGGTATGAATCAGCTGCTGCCACCACCACATCCTATTATTCTAGCAGTCAGGGCTCTAATGTGCAGACAGACACCTGAAAGAACACCATAATCCCTTTATTATATATATTATGGAGAGGTACACACTTTTCAACTTGCCAGTTGACAATACTGAATACCCGGAGCTGGAATTAGAACTCACATGGTTCACCTCCTAGGGCAATGCCCTAAACTGTTACAACTAGATACATTTCACTATTAAGCATAATGTAAAACAGCAGAAGAGAAACTGTCCAACAACCAGACATTGTATGAGAATACCAGGAGAAAACCTTGCACAACCTGACCTATGTTGTTCTGTCATCACTCCAACCACTTTCTCTTAGTCTACTAAAGAGTGAAGAAATGCAAAAGCAGGATTATCTGATTGAGTAAGGTCTCCTTGTGACTCGTCCATTTCAGCACAGCAGCCCTGACAGCAAATTGAATAGCCTACTCTTAGAATTCACTGTATCCATAGCTACAAAGAGCTACATATTTCATGGAATCAAAAGTTCCTGTTTTATAATTAAACCATGGAGAAGTTCAGAACATGTTGTCCTAAACAGCCTAACTTATCTTGGAAACCTGAAGCTGCAGAAACTACACCTTCTTGCTGAGGGTGGTCAAATTAACACCTTCGTAGGAAAAGCTTCGATAATGTCAAGTTAGAAGTGATATTCTATCTAAACAACAGGAAAGGGCTGAGGCTCACAAACCATCCCTTAACATCCAAGTTATGCATCAAACATGGTTGAGAGCCAAGAGGCAAACACACAGGTATGTTTTATTTCCAGAATATGAACATATATATACAAGACTAAGTTACCCATACAACTATAGTCCTAACATGTAACTTCTGAAGATCTGAAAATTCAAAAGAATATTTTTTAATACAATATGACAAACACCTGAAGAGACCTGAATTAGGCTAAGGAGACATTCAAGCATGCATTTAAAGACTTACAAATAAGACAGGTTATTGACCTACTTGCAGCATATCATCAACCATAGTCAGAATATACTGAACCGTCTGTTCCTTGGAGATATGAGTCATCAAGTTTATAAATGTTTTAGCACACTAGAAAAATAAAAGAGACATTAAAATTAATATTAGCGATTATCTTCATTCCTTTGGACAATATAAACTAGGACCTCATTAATTCATAGCTGAGTCTTACATAAGCATTGAGCATCCCAACATCTCATTCAATTGCAATAAGAGATTAATATATTTGACATTATATTACAAAGAAAATCTTCTGTCACACTGATTGTTACCTTTTACAAACTGTTTTATGGCTTTCAAATGAAATAACAAGTACTCACTAGTGAAAGTCAGCCAGGTGCTTTGCTGAAAGACTGATTAGAAAAATTCTTCATCGAATTGAGTAAATTGACAAAACAGCAACAAACTAGGATATGGTATAAGAAAGTTTCAGCAATTTGAATGGAGGGAGGGAAGACAGGTCACTCCTACCTATTCACTTCTTATACCTTGTAGACAAATTGTTTTTCATATTTGAGCTGTTTTCTGCCCCCTGAACAACTCCACAACTTCAGGAACAGATATAACAGGCTCAAACAGTCACAACACTACTTTTTACACTTCCTCCTTCCACATTCAACTAAAACTGAAAGAAAAATGGAACAAAAACACTGCAATTATACAGTGGCATATAATGTTCACTATATATGCTTTTGACACCATGCAAATTATGGTCCATTATGTAGCAGGCACATAAAATAATTTGGGGTGAAAAAAAGAGCTTTAAATTAAAGTAGAACAAAGAGATGGGAAGTTTTGAGTCTTGAGAGCATCTCCTACTCTTCCCTCCTGCCTCACCCAATCCTCTTGATGTCTGACATTGTCTGCTAGAACCTCAGGCTTCAAGGCTGAGATTCTACTGCTTGAAATATCATTAAAGTGTCTTTGGGCATCTTGCCTAGACTTCATAAGCCAAATGGCATGGGTCACCTATCAATCTCATATCAGCTCTGTCCAATACAGAAGTCTCTTATCTTACAGTGCCTACAATGACACCTGTTTTTAAATAACTGAATCCACCCTAGTAGTCAGTAGGCTCTATTGAGGGAACTACCTTCTAATTGTTCAGCCAGCTAAGTGGAAACCTCACTGGCAGTAGCTCTCATCAATAAACTATATGGAAAAAAGCTGAAAAAAAGTGACTGAAAAAGTACAAGTGTGTACAATTAAGTAAACTGGGATGAGAAAAGACTTGAGCTAGCTTGTCCCACAACAGAGCCCTTCAAATTCAGATGACATTTAATAATTGTTTAATAGGTTTTTAAAAGAATGTCCAACCGATATCTAGAAAAAAGAAAACGATAATACTAAGTTTTCTATTTCCTCCATAACAACTGTATACAGCCAACACTGAAATAGAGTTGGTAGAAAATTTCCTTCTGTCCTCCTCCTCAAAAGATAGATTATTAAAAGAAAGGAAAGTTACTTGATTGCCTTCTGTTTGCAACAACTCCTGTTTTTCTTCTGGATTTCTTTTCTGTTCAAATCTTTGAATAAATTCACAGTCTTCACCTGAAATCATCTGCCCTCTGAAAAACAAAATATGAAACCATAAGCAACACAAACAATAAGTTATTTCAAACTACCACTATTCCAAATTAGGTTTACGTGGCAAGACTCAGGTGCTGGGGGTCTGCAGGAGCAGCTTCTATGAGCAAACACCAGAAGCAGCTCCCGTCCAACAGAGACAATGCCAGCCAGCTCCAAGACAAACCCACCTCTGGCCAAGGCTGAGCCGATCAATGATAGTGGTAGCATCTCTGCGATAACACATTTAAGAAGTGAAAAATATTGCTGCGCAACAGCAACTGCAGGCAGAGAGAGGAGTGAGAGAAGGAGGGGGAGGAGGTGTCCATGTGCCAGAGCAGAGATTCCCCTGCAGCCCGTGGTGCAGCCCCTGGTGAGGCAGCTGTGCCCCTGTGGCCATGAAGGGTAAGGGCAGAGTCGAGATACACCCGCAGCCCCTGGAGGATCCCATGCTGGAGCAGGTAGATATGCCCCAAAGGAAGCTGCAGCGCACATGAAGCCCACGCTAGAGCAGGCTCCTGGCAGAAGCTGTGACACTGTGGGGAGGAGCCCACACTGGAGCAGGTTTTCTTGCTCCTCCACGGTGAGGACCTATACTGCAGCAGTCTGTTCCTGAAGGACTGTACCCCATGGGAAAGGGCACATGCTGGTGTGGTTTGTGAAGGACTGTAACCTGCGGGCAGGACTCTGTGCTGGAACAGAGGAAGAGCATGAGAAGGAAGGAGCAGCAGAAAAAGCGTGACGAACTGACTGCAATCCCCCTACCCTGTCCACCTGCGCCGCTCAGGGCTAGAAGGTAGAGAAATCGGGAGCAAAGTTGAGCCTGGGAAGAAGGGCAGCATGATGGGAAGGTGTTTTTAAGATTTGTTCTTATTTCTCACTATCCTACTCTGTTTAATTGGGGATAAATTAATTTCCCCAAGCAGAGTCTGTTTTGCCCGTGATGGTAATTGCTGAATGATTTCCCTGTCCTTATCTCGACCCAAGGACTTTTTTGTCATATTTCTTACCCTGTCCTTTTAATGAAAGGAGGCTAATAGGGCAGTCTGGCAAGCACCTGGCAGCCAGCCAAGGTCAAGCCATCAAACAAACCTTGTTTTCTTCAACTGGATATCTCAGCAGTATCTCTTTACCAATCCTACATCCCACAGCAGAATGTAAAGAGCTCATTTCTGGCAAAAGGTCTCGTGTACAAAGAATTAAAACTAAAGACAGAATAATCTCTCCAAAGCTTCCCCTATGCATGGCCTCTGCTCAACAGCATTCTTTAAATAATTCTTTAACTTCCAGAGGCTGAATGCAACAGTCAGTAGAAATAGTTGGAAGAACTGAAATACACACAGCTAGCCCATTATGGCAAAATTATAACACCTATTATGAATAACAGTCTAGTTCTACCTGAAATAAGTGCTGAAAAATAAAATGAATTGTTATTTTAAGTTTGCCATAAGCACTGAAGAGAATTTTAAGGAGTACAGAGAACTTGGTTTCTAATATATTTTTAGCTTTCACCAATTACAACATTTCAGCTTTTCCTGATAGTTTAAAAAATGATAACGCATGCAAGCCCATCCAAACACATATCAAGGGGGATTAATACAGTAAACTGCTGCAGACACCTGTAAGGTAACAGATCTCCACTTATCTTCTCTTTAACTTAATAATCAAGGGGTTACTGACATCATCAGTGCTGTTTCAGAAAGCTGTTGACTCAGCTGAAGAGCTGGCATAATATTGTCGGGTTTTTGTTATAATACAAAACTTACCACCACGACAAATAACAAACTTGTCAAAACGGTACAGTCAGGTACTCTTCAGGTAAGAAAACTAATTTTAAATCAAGCAATCCTGAAAATATCTAAGATTTTAATAAGGTGACTAGCTTCCCTAGCTAACAGCGGGAGTGCTTCAGGAAAGAAGGAAATGGTGCACATCCTCACCAATGCAAAAGTCACACAGGATGACAGTATCAGACATTTCTCTGTTTCAGTTATTTCCAAGACTCATCTCCTCTTACAGTTCCACTGAGTCAAATGCCTCTTCTGCTTTGCAAAGCTATGTCGCATGGATTCTTTTAATCGATCTTTCCCACATTCCAGGTCAGTTGCCAGATGTTCCATGACTGGGGTTCCACTAAAATCCTTGCAAACTTACAGGAAATGCTAGCTTTTTTTTTTTTTTGGTTCCCCTCAATTGGCTCACCTGGATTCTTGAAACGAAGAAACATAAATAAGACCTACAATGTGTTCTTATCTTTCCTCTTACTTAAATGCTTATGTCTTGAGGATGGCCTCATCACAAAGCTATCTTTTACTTATTTACTTCAAGCAAAGAACATAACTAGTCCAGTCCCATGTGCACTATTCCTGCATTCTAGATGATTTGTATGGAATATCCTCATATACTCTGAGGAAAGGCAATTCAGACTTTACCAGATGGAAGATTCATAAAGCCAGTGGCAGTCCTCTACTACTTTCTACTAATACTTAACTAACTATAGATGAAAAAGTAATTATCCAGTGACAACCATGCTGCTACCACATGCCTTTTAGACTGACTCGTGTTCTTTCTTGCCTATTAAGGATGGATTTCAGTAGCTGTTGAAAGATGAGGACAACTCATTCGCCACAAATACTGGACTTAACGACCTGTAACTAGAAGCCTCTCATTTTTCAATCAATGCTGGCCAAGCCTAGGACTCCTGGATGATATCGGTATAAAGTAACCAGATGAGCTACTTGTTTATAAGAATATTGCTATTTAGGAAGCACTTCAAAGGTGACATAAGGTGAATGCTTAATTTTTAGCTTTAATGCTTGAAAAAGCCTCAAGTGTTTCTTTATAGCATGGCTATTAGAAGAAATCTGCCAACAGTCCAGGAAAAAAGCTTTCAAGCTTTTGCTTTCACCCTACACTAGACAACAGGGAAAAAAGAAAAAAAAAAAAAAAGTGCATGGACTGATGTTGCCTTGAGAAGAAAAGAAGTTGGGTTTACTTTTTATTGCTTTGTAAGTGCCATTCAAAAAGACACTTTCCAGCCTGAACAAAACAGTGCAAAGAATCCCTCTTCCTAATATCCATTTAATTTCTTATTTTCCAGGATGCGTCTATATCATCTTTTGTCAGTAAATGAGTCACTTTGGCTGAGCTTCAGTTGTCTGGGTATACCGGATTTAAACCGGTTGTCCTGTAATCACCTTTTAAAACACTGTGTTTGAGACACTAAGGCCTGCCTTTGAAAGCACTAGCCACAGCAGAGTGAAATGAAGCTGTGTAAGATTTAGAAAGCATGAATTTGTAAGACCACCATTTTCAAAAGCTCTCGGTCTCTCGAGATTATTCAGAAACTTGTGATTCCTTCTTTGTATTATGCATTTCCTCCAGCAGCTCTTGTTCCTTTTTTTTGTTTGAATGACTTAACAGAAGACATTCTGGGCATTAGTTGGGGTTTTTTTGCTTGGTTTTTAATTTTGGGGGGTTTTGTTGTTTTTCTAAAAAAACCACACCACCACACACAACCACAGATTTGACTACATCTGCATCAAATATGAAGTTCATATGAAGCCATCATGTCAAAGCATAATTTCTTTTATCTAAGTATCTACAGGACTTTGCATGTACCTAAAGGTCATTCATTTGATCCAATTGCTCAACAGTTTTAATATTACAAAATTAAAACAAGTAAAACAAGCTGAATGTACTTTCAAAACTGGACCAAACTAAAAAAAATAAAAATACAACACACAAACACAAAACCCCGCACACTACAAGTTAGGAAACGGTTAGGAAACTTCTATCTTTCTTCTAAGACAAGATTTGCTTTTAAGGTCTGAGATACTTAACTCGCTTTAGAAGGTTCCCACATACCCAGGAAACTAAAATAGACACTTTAACATCAGAATTCACAGACGTACATGTAAAGTACATTAAGACACATGGGAAGCCATGTACAAATTAGCCATCAGGTGTCTCACCTGGTTAAACATGAAGTATTGTCAAGTGCTGTACACCTACAAAACCTACAGTGCAGTAAGACACAAGTTAAACACTGAAACGAGTTTACCTTTCCACAGAGCTAATTTACTACCCTTAGAAAGCAAAACCAAACTTGCTTCAAGCAAGCTAACACATCCTCCAGATGCATTTTGACACCCTGAAGCAAATGGTGAAAGCAACCACACAGTACACAACAGCGATGCACTGTATTTCCAACCAGCAGAGGGGCATCAACACTTCTAAACTACCACAAGTCTCAAGATCCAGAGGCAGGGAAGTCTGCACAGGACTAATGGCCTAAACTGTGTTTCGTTTCCAGAAGGTAAGTAGACCTACACATCACCTTCCCCTGTTCCAAGTTTTGCTAGTTTCTTCTCCCTGACACAGTCCCTAGCTGGAATTCAACAAAAAGCAGGCATAAAATTTAGCATTAGAAAAAAAAAAAACTCTTGCCACCACCTAATTTTGAAGTGAGGAGAGAACACAGCACAGGGAAACCAGTGCTACGTACAGTTGTAATACCGAAATACTTCACCTTTGTGCCAACAGCATACACAGAAAACATCAAAAGTCAGCAGTTGTGTGTCGACGTGGTTTGACATTTAGTTTACAGTTATAACCTTCAGCGATGGAATAAACAATATGCAGGTTAATCGTTAGCTTGAACAGACTCTACAAGAGAAGTCAGGCTACTAGAGTCTGACAAACTATTAGTTAAGACTTTTGCGCTGAAGAACAGAGAGAGAAGAAAAGAACTTCAGAATACCTTCCTGTGTGACCCAGACTTCCATGCTGTTGTGACTGTTGCCATCTTTAAAGCATCTTTATAACTGCCACAGCCAGATTTAAAAAAAAATGCTTCATCATAATTTCTTGCGAAGTTCTTTAACTCCAACTGCATAAATACTATCTGTGGTTTAAAGAACACAAATTATGTCATGCCCGAGTTGATGTGTTAACCTAGAAGAAAGATTTTCATGTTTGTTTTCCCTAATGTAAAAATGCCTGAAGCTTGAAGTACACCTCCATGTATTCATATGCAAGCTTACCACACCAAATGCACAGACTGGCAGAACAGGAGCTCAAAAGCAAGCAAGAGAAGCATCCTTCAAAACCATCAGCACTCCACCTTCCTTCTGCTCAGTAGACCAAAACAAACTATCTGACCTGCCTCCAACAGGAGGCACTAACTGACTCTTCAACAAAGCCTCAAAGACACCATCACGTCCAAACCAGCCCGTTGTAAAGGGACATGTCCAACACCAGGTATAATTTCCTCTTTAGAGGCACCAAGAGTTCTGAGAATATTTTCTAATAACTAACGATAAACATACTCCTCAGCCAAGGAATGACAGTTATCTTCACAATGTTCCACAGTCCCTCTGACACCGCTTAAGTTCATCCTTGAAGCTACCTTAGCCAGACAGCCAGGCTGTTATCAGTCAACACAAGACACAAAGATTACAATTATTTCAGAGCAATAATAAGCAGGACACACTGTCATTGACCTACAGAAGGCACCAGGCATTGAATAGTCTTGCAACAGGATCACAAACACTAGCCACATGCACTACAGTAGCCTCCAAAGCCTGGCTAACCCATCAATGAGAAGAAATAACTGGTACACTCTTTTTTTGGATTCCAGAACAAAACAACGTCAAATTCTACATCTAGAATCTGAAAAGGAGGCACCAATCCTGCCTTCTGGTCAAAAGAAGTTACACAGAAATTTGCTGACAGATAATAAACAAATCTCCACCATCCTTATCCAGCACCAAAGAGACAACCCCAAGAATGAAGGCAAATTATGAATGATGGACCGCATAAAACACAGCCAAGCAAATAATGCTACATATGTATTCAAAATACAAATCCTTACCAAACAGAACCATCCCCTATACTAACAAAAGCAACAGATTAATCTCACCAGACTTATAGTCTGAACCAGTACAGTTGCTGTGAAAAAGACTATCCCATATTCACTTAGATTGACAGTGAATAATTGTACTCCCACCATCATCCCAAATAACTGCGACCCAGCTGCACTTGCCACTAAGACAGCACAGGAACAATATTTTTCATAGGCACCTGTCACGAGGAAGGCAGTGATGCAAGAATCCTTCATTTCACTTCAGAGTACACAGGACTAGTAAAACTCTGTTTCTTCCCCCTGTTTCCCACCTCATACACAAATCTATTTTCCTCAGTTTGTCCCTATATGCGCTCCAGGCAATATGTTTCTCGCTACTCCCAGTGTCATTATATACCTTCCAAAACAAACTCTGAGCTTACCTGAAATGGCAGCACAGCTCTCCGCACAATTAAGTACTTGTTCCGGCCTATTCCCCGACTTAGTTGTTTCAATTGCTCCCCAGCACTATTTTTCACTTAGCTGAGGTACAGCTTATTTTCCTGGACTACCAGTCCAGTTTTGCTCGTACAATTTGTATTCACACATAAGGCACGTCAGCAATAGAGATAACATACCTACATATAAATCAACTCTTACTGCCAACTTTTCTTGCATCAGTACTCATCCAATGAGCATAAAATTGAGAGCAGTGTTTGAATGACAAGCAGAAAAGAATGGACAGTTTTACCATGCATCTGTGAAAACTTATATTATTATTACAGCATTCAGTTCACAAAAGCAGAGCTCCCTTTCTTGTAATAATAAAATTTTCCCCAACCATTTCCACTTAACGTAGACTTTTTCCAACTATTTTTATGGGACCAAGACAAAATGTTCCTCACTGTAACCTAAAGTTCGAACATAACCCAAAATCCCGAAAAGCCTAACAATTAGGATGGAAAGAAAAAAAAAAAAAAAAAAAAAAAGAAAAAAATAGTGGAAAGTTCTTACTTACTGGAGATATGACTGCCAGTTTACTTTGTTTGCCCGAACTTCAGCAGCTTTGGCAGCAATGATGTTTGTTGGGACAGCAGCATCTACAGCACCTCGGATATCCATCTTAATTGATAATCAGGATATACCTAGAAATGCAAGTCAGATTTGAGACCTCTTATTAAAGTACTAAAGAGCAGAGTATGTGTCCAATATTTTAAAGGAAAAAAAAAAAAAAAAAAAAGAGGAAAATCTGTTTTCAGGTGCCCAGTTCGCTAAAACTGTACTTTCTGGGAAATCAAAGTTCTATACAGCATCTCAAACATGACTTCCCCGAAGCAAAGAAAAATAAACCATAGACACACTAAAAGTGTAACCAGTCATAAGTCTGCTGAAATAGAAGACATATACCATTGCTAAATAACTCCCAGTCTTATAAATTTTCCATCAAACAAAACTATGTGAATAAAGACTACTTTTCTGTGATGCCCAAGTAGCACTACAGATAACAGAAGCTGTCTTCCTTCCAAGGTAGGGCTGATGATAAGGATTAAAATTCTGTGCACATGACCCCTCCTCCCGTTCCCCAATATATTAGGGCTGACTTCGTTCAGGTATGTCTAAGAGTATTTAGACATCAGAAACACACGAACTGCAACTTCAGAAATTAAAAAGTTATATAAATTAAAAACCGTGTTACATAGACTAACAAGAAAATCAAAATCATCACTGTACAAAAAGCAAACTGAAAATAAATCCAAGCAGAAGCTCTTTATCGGGACATTCTACATTACCACAGACAGTGACCTTCACTGCTTCTCCTTTCTCCTTCCTTTAGGGTTTAATCTCCACGTGACTTTGGTGCCAAAACAAGAAGTGTGTTTGCAAAGGAAAAAACAGCAGAAATTCCTTACAGCCCAAACCGCATCCAGCCTCTCCACACAGCCTGTTTCTGGACTCTTTTGGCTCCCCTTACAGAACCAAGAGCAAACTGGCACATTCTGCCCAGTTCCGAACAAACATACCTCGTTTGGATGACTGATCAAAAAGATGATTCTAACAAAAGCAAAAAAAAAAAACCCGAACAGATGGAGCAGCAGAACCATCCTCCCTTTGAAACCACCTCTGGGAGCAGACACCCACACGGCAGCACCACTTACTGAGCCCTCCAGCTGAACGTTTCCCTGACCCGGCCAGAGCCATGTCAACCCTCCCCGAGCTGCAGAGGAGGGCGGGCCGGGTAACGGGGTGCGGGAGCACGCAGCCTACACAGATAA